TGTTATGGATAAATGTCTGTGTCCTTCCTCTATCTCTTTTATCCGCTTACATGCACACTGCTGCTCAATTACATAACCATAACATGTAAGACTGGCGATATTCACACATAAACAAAAGCTGGTTAAGCAGACCAACACTCCTTCGAGAGGGAGCAGAATGAGGAGAAGATAAAAACAGAAATCGCTACAATCTTTACTTCACTCCGTGTTGCCCTAAGGTGAGCTGATTGGAGCCCAGCGCTGGACGCTGAATGTCACTCTGTATTTGTTCTCAGGGCCAGCCCAAGGCATAAGCAAACTAAGCAGCCGCTTAGGTCCCCAGGGCCACTAAGGTGCCCCCCTCAGTGGAACTGATTTTGTTTGTTTGTTTTTTTGTAATAATTTCTATGTCATTATAATGTCAAAAACACACAATTTCATTATGAAGTGATTTGTTTTTACAATAATATATATTTGATGTATGTAGAAATTATTATTTTATTGATAAAAGAAAAAATTGCTCTTGGGGCCCCTGGTGGCCACGGTAGGTACCGCACACTTTGCCTATAATGAGCTGCCGTGCAATGTGTAGTGAGCATCCAAACGTCCAAAGCTCCGGTTAGAAGTTAAGTAAGCAAAACAGTGTCTCAAAAAAAGACTTATCCTTCAGGGAGGGAGAAAAGAAAAAGGAAGAATAGAAAAAAGCCAAGATAAAGGTTTGTTTTAATATGCCATGGTAATGTAATGTAAAAGATTTGTAAAGCTGCTAGCTTGATAGCGACCTGGAACGGTCCAGTTTAACAGCCAAATATTTATGCTGGGGTCTTTGTGTTTGTATGAAACTGAGTTTAAACTTTTAATGAGTCGATTCTCATGGTAGGCTCTGTATTTTCTGAGGTATTTTTGGCTTCAAAACGCCATCTTTGATAACGTTTGATAACAATAATTAAAACTTCTCAATGTTTGACATTGCCTAGCAAAATGTTTTTACGTCAGCTGCTGCATTGATGAACTGCTCTATGCTGTATGTAGAATCATTTTGTGACTAAAACAAACATTATTTTTACATCAACTTCTAAGTTATGTGAAACTTCTGATAAAATCATTTGAAGGCTCAGAATCAGTCCAGTACCGGTCCACATTCTCAGGGGAGAAAGACTCACCTGGTTTCAATTACATTTTTCGCTATTGGAGTAACGCTTAAGAATAAATTTCTAGGCTGCACCGATTGCAGTTTTCTGGCCGATCCCTGGTTACCGACATTTTAAGAGCCTGACCTGCTGATTTTGATTTTGGCTGATATGAAATTTTTATGTCTGAAATGTCACTAAATATAGCAATAAAGTCAGGTGAGTTAAGAGTGTGGTGAATATTGTTAACTGCAAATGTTCAGACCTGACCTGGTTGGTCTGTCAGTCAAACCTCTCACTGCAGAGCAGAAGAGGACAGAAACTGATTTTTCAACCTTTGCTGACGAAGATAAGACTAGGGGATAAGATCAGCTTCACATGTAAGTATCGGCCAATCACGATCCCCCAAAATTAAGGAAATCGACGCCCAGAAATCAACTGGTCGATAAATCAGTTGGCCAATAAATGTATCCTATATTATGCACATATATAATGTGAACAACACTGCCAGAGATGCAATCAGTTCATAGCAGGTATGTGAATGATCTAATGATCGGACTGCTGATTGCAGACAGTCCACATTGTTAGTAGAAATAGAGGGCCCCAAAACCAAATTTCGCTTAGGAGGCTTGGGCTTGGCCCTGTCTGTTCTATTCATATGACTTTAACATTTGATTATTTTCAACATTAAAACCTGGTTTATACTTAACCAAATATCATTTCTCAAGATGATGACACTGAGGGGTTTTGGTTGGGTCTCAGAACTGGTAAACGGACCTGGATGCTGCACAGAAAGGAAAATGTGTGCACTACAACAATATTACATTTACCTGTATTTGGCCGCTGGCAGGTGTCAATTTTCACCTCTGGTAGAACAGCTGATGGTGTGTTGTTGGGGTGTGTGTATGTTGAAGCCTTTCAGAGTGTCGCTGCACCCTTCGCCTCCCTCTAGTCCCTAGAAGCGACCCGAGCAGGTCCAGTGTGTGTGAGGAGGGGGATGAGCTGCTGATGTATGTCTCTTCCTGTGTGCAGGCTCTGCGGGTTATGGCTAAGATCATGAGGGAGTGTTGGTACGCCAACGGTGCTGCCCGGCTCACCGCGCTCCGGATCAAGAAGACGCTGTCTCAGCTCAGCCAGCAGGAGGGAATCAAGATGTAGACCCAGCTCCCAAACACACACACTCACACACACATCTCTGACTGGGATCTATACCATTAGCATTACACCATCTGTGTCCTGACGAGACCTCAGCCTGTCCTGTAGGGAAGCTGAGGACATTTTGTATCTCACTCACGCCTGAGGAGGCTGGTGTCCTACTGGACAGCTGGACTGATGTCTGGTGGAGAAATCTGATGGAGGAGGTCTGTGCCTGGGGGGATGGTAGAGATGTGTAAGGAAGCCTCCTATCATTGACGTTTCATTAGAGCATCCTCTTCAATCATCACCATAAATCTTTCTGTAAACAATCCAAACCTTTCCCCTCAGTAGGGCTGCAGCTCTGGAGATGTTAGGGAAAGAAATTGTGATTTTCTAAGTAGTATTGAATGCGCTTTTTATTGGGAGACTGACCTTGTGTCATATCGTTGCTATAGCAACTCCCAGGAAGCCTAGAGTGTCATCAGCTTGTAAGGGATGTGACGGCTGCTCCACAGACTACTGTGTGTGGCCACTGAGATGTGTTACAGGACAGGAAATGTCGCATTTTACTCAATGAGCCAGTCAGCACCAGTGTCCAAACTAGTGCTGACTGTTTGGATTGGGTCATGACTGGGTGATCATCTGGAGAAACAGGAGCATCATGGCATCCCATGCATCATTGGAAGAATGGAAGGAACAGTAGCTGTTTGGGTCAGCCTGGTTACACATGTTCCAGTCAAAGAGCCAGACATTGAAAATACCCAATCAACTCTGATCAATAGATTAGATTGTTTTATTTATTGCAGATAAATAAAACAGATACTATGCAATACATAGTAGTTGCATTTTGTCTTAATAAATAGTAATAATAAATAATAAATAGTATTGCATTTTGTCTTAAAGTAGTATAATACTATTATTATACTACTAATAGTTTATTATTATTAGTAATATACTATTAGTAACATACTAATAGTATACTACTATATATATACTACTATAAATAGTAGTATACTATTATTAGTAGTATAATAATAGTAGTATTATTTACTACAGACAACATCCTGCAACATTCTAAGTGCAGGATGTTCTCTGCACTTAGACGCCAACATCCTGAGCTTTGATACACTTCCTTTCATTTAAATGAAGAGTAAACAAAGCATGGATGTTACGGGTGTGTTTGATACTATAATCTCTTAGTGTTAGATACACACATCAGAGTAACTGTGAACGAACAGAGACCTTTGACCTGCAGGACATTCTCACTGTAGCTTTAATTCATAAACTACCATCTGACACTTCAAAGCAAAAACATGTACAGGAACTTATTTTACTTCAATCAGAACTGTTGCTACTGTTGGTACTGTTGCTGAAATGATCTCAAATATTTTATGGTTACAAAACGGATATTTGTTAGTTATTCATCCTACTAGAATATAAACATCTGCTGAGCTTAACTGTAGATTTCAGATGGCCAGGATATGATTGTTTTGCTACTCATCTCTTTACCAAGCAGGTGTTACTGGGTTAGCTAGTAACACGGTGGTCCACTCTGAGCGGGTAGCTGTGGGCTCTCTGACTCTCTGACAGGCTGAAGAATGCTTTCTTTATTTATTCTAACAGATTTGAATAGGGATGATGTTTGCAGCCCTACTGTACAGTTTTTCTACCTTGGATGGAGACCTAGGGGTCCCATCAGGGGCCCCATGGTCAGGTTGTAAAGCTCTTCATCATGTCATCACTCAGTCATACTGAATTTAATTTATTGTGCATGTATTTGGATTTTCTTTCTGGTGGTAAGGGACTTTTTGTGCTAAACTGAACCGGACATGGTGACCTCATTCATCTTTGGTGAACATGCTGCAACATATGCAATATACAGTAGATAAATGTGTCTATTTTCTATACTCTGCTCTGCTAAAACATAAACAGCAAGACCAACAACAATCAGCTGCCACCATGCCTTCCAAACCAGCCGGAACCGGAAAGTGCCAGTGCTTTAAAACCCAACTCCTCATGTCGGCTGCTGTGGGATGCTTGTTCTCTCTCTCTCTGTGCGTGTGTGCGTGCGCGTGCATGCGTGCGTGCTTGTTGGATATACAGTGAGCTTCTACTATGCACACCCAGATGTAGGGACGGGTAGCAAAAGGAATCGCATACAGCTCACCATCCCTGGCAGCGTCCACACCCGGCCGGCCGACGCTCTGGTGCCATTTTATTAAAGACAGCTCCCCACCCCATCACCTCGGCAACTGCTCATCACCCAGCTCCTCCTCTGCTCTGCAGCACCTCCAGCTGGCTGCACTTAGAAGAAATAACAGCCACACATTGTCAGTGGCGCTCAGAGACTTGGAAGCATTACCGGTGTTTCCCTATAAATTGATTCTGTTCAGAATTTTGTTTCTTCAACCTGGAGAAAATTTCCAACAAGAAAGCAGTGAGGTAGATTCAGTCAAAGCAACCTGATATTTACTAAGCCATAGGTTTTTCAGGTGTTTATTTTCATCTTGTTTTGTTGCATGATGTTTTCTACCAGAATGTACATTTATGATTCATAGAAAACAACCTTGTTACTTCAGCTGAGCAAGCCTTAAGGGACCAACGCAAAAGAGTCACTTTCTGCTCTTAGAATCTTTTTTTTTGTTGTTTTCAGAAGAAAAAAAAATACATATATATATATATATATATATATATATAATTGATTACTATAATAAAGGTAGTGTTGTATGTAAAAGACAGAATATGTATATGTAGCACCTGATTTAAGAGTTTGTCTGCCTGTTCCCACGCTGCCATCCAGATGAACAGATCCTGGCTTTAACATGGCTCCAAAGCAAGTCTCCAATCAGAATCAGGAAGTCATCAATATTCAACTAGTTCCATGTGCCAGATTGTAATTTTCATAACCAAACCAGTCTCTTGATTGTTATCAATAAGTGCACTTCAGGCCCACTCCAGGTGCAGTCCACCTGTATGGCAGTGTGGGTCTCCATCAGTCGGTTTCTCTCTGCATTATTGTTCTTTGATTCATAATGTATTAATGTGCTGCTATCTGCCTCTCTGAGTTGACTTTAAGCTCTGGTTCCATGTAAATGTCCTCGTTTTGCCTGATCGGATCATTTTTGTGACTTGTTGCTCGACCTACTTGGTTAGCTGGTCATCATCTCAGCATTAACTGTATACAGATGCACGTGTGTGCATGTGTGTGTACACAATGTTGAGTCCTTTGGTTGGTGGCCCAACCTGCAGAACAACCTGCTTTCTAAGCCCTTGTAGCAACTGATCTTAAGAGATCATTGCAGACGTTTGTAGAAATAGATACAACAGCGCCTTTAGAGGATGTAATATGTAACTTGTTCAAGTAGAGGAACACTGTAGAAAGCCTGATTTCTGCTGCTTTTTTTTTATTACTCATCAGCTGTGGTTCCATCATCTATATTAATTATGGAAGACAAGACAAGGATTGTTTTTTTTTTTCCACCAAACTGGTGCTAGCAGCACTTCCTCTCATCCTGCCCTGTTCTGTTCTGATGCAACCT